ATATATATGCAATTGTTTTGGCTAACTGGCCAAATATGTAACTTGCCCAAAGTTTTATGGCCTAATTTGCTTTGAGAGCCCAATGATGCCCAAGCCCATGCCCATGTCCATCAAAACTTTCAAACTGGAACTTTTATCTGGACTCAAGTTGGAAAAATTCGTCAAAATAGCACGGTATAGCCAATTTTCGCACTGGTCAATCAAAAATAGCCAGCGTTTACCAAGTCAATGAAAAATAGCCACTATTTTGCTGCAACAGAGACCGGTCCCGTATAATATACGGGAGTTCGGTGCATTTGTGTACGAACTCCAGCATATTATGCTGGACCGGTATACTTTGCTGACTCCTGTATAATATACGGGAGACTGGAGCACCGATGCTCGCACCTCCAGTATATTATATTGGACATTTATACTTGCTGGAACTCCAGTATATTATGCGGGAGTTCCAGCATAATTATACTTGAACTCCCGCATATTATACGGGAGTTCCAGCATAGTTATCCTGGAACCTGGAGTTCAAGCATACTTATGCTGAAACTCCCGTATAATATGCGGGCGTATTTTCCGGATTTTGAACAGTATTTTCGTTCAGATTTATCTTTACATGAAAAGTGGCTAAATTTCGATTACTTTTGAAACTGAGCTATTTTTGAATGACCAATTGTAAATCTGGCTATTTTTAAATTTCTCCCATAGGCCTGAGTTTCATAATCCTTTCATTTATAGGCATGTAATCAACAGAATATGCGTTATGAAAACAATCTAGTATAGGGCCATCATCAAAATTCATATCTCTTCAAAAGAGTTATCTGTTCAAATGAAGATTTATTTGTTGATGCTTGATTGCTAAACTTAGTAAAATATGATTGTGCATAGGTAACTTAGTTGTCTTGAGGCTACCGTTTTGTAATTGTCAGGGCAATAATAACATATACATGGGAAAAAAAGTCAATGAGAAACAATAGAGAACAATGTAGCATGCAAGAGAAACATTTTCCCCAAATGAATTAAGTTATATTCTCATTTGATGTAAAGCGTAAAATATCGAAAATAAAACTAACCATACAAAATAATCAATTAAATCCCGATATAAATGAATTTTGATCGTATCAAACATAATCTTTATCTGATTTTAAGCAAAATGTTAGGACGAGAATGAGTTAATTAGTTGTTGCAAAAACAAGCCAAGGGTTCAATCGCTAAGTATCAAGGAGCATTTTACTTTTGGTGTGGGATGCGAATTCAAATTTAATTGAACTCAATATAAATATCGAATATTGGGTGTGAAAAAAATAGTGTTGCACATGGTCAAAGGGAGAATCGAAACAAAATATTAGCCAGCAAGCAGAATCGCAGCTATGTCACATAAGAAAGGAACATATAATTTGGATAGGATTTGCAGGCTGCTCCGATAAATATTCACCACTCGCCGGATCCTACCTCTTCTTTCCTTTTTTCCACCACACAAATTAATAATGCTTTGCTTTGTCAACTTCTACGTAATACTTAGTATATAATACTAATATTACTGTGCAATTTGCCAGGTCTTTTTCTTCTTTTCTGGATAACTAGTGTTCAAATTGTCAGTCATTATCTCATCATCAGTATTTCTTCTCTGCCTTTCTCCTTTTAATTCCAAATTGTTCATTAAATGGCTAGTGTTTCAGCTACTTGTCTCAGATTTGGGTGTTCACTCAATCAGTCGTTCAAGACATCACAGGTTATTGCTAAAAACTTACGAATAGTTGCCTTTAGTTGGCATTTTGACATGACTAATTTTCTTTTGAATTATTAATGTAGCATATAGTATTGACTATGGAGGCAATTACATTTCTTTCAATAATGCAATTAGTCCACTAACTACTTCAACGCCTAATCTGTGGTGCAAGTATTCGTACTTAAATAATTTAATTAAATCCATGTGCAGATAAGCGGAGGAAATGCAGATCTGAAGTTGGTTTCTGTAGGGTGGGCAAGGACTACTGGTTTCCCTTCTCTCAGAACCTCCCGCTTCCGTGTTTCTTGTGTAAATCTTCTTTTTCATGCCCCTCCATTTAATCTTTTATTTACAGCTTGTTTGGATGGTTGTTCCTCGTTGTATTGTATTGTATTGTTATCCCAAAACAATGTTTGTTTTGATTGTTTCATTATAATTGGTTGTATTGTATTGTTAAATCCATTGTTCCGGAACTATGAAAAGTCTCCTTTTTTGAAACAACCGATTTGGTGTGGTGAGATTGTTTCCTATTTTTCTTTCCAATTATGCCTTAACTTATTACTCCATAATTTTATTTTACCCTTTATCTTTTTTATATTTTAGCTCCAAATCTCCAACTTATAACCTACTTTGTTTTTTTCCAGACCAATGTTAAAGGTGTTTTGTTGCCTCCTGTTTTATTTTTTTCTCCTAATTTGCTTGTAACTCAATTCTAATTAGTTGTGCTCCTTTGTTTTGTCTTTTACTGTCTCGCTCCTTTGTTCTGCTTCCTTATTGTGTTTTGCCTTCTTCTATTTTGGTTTTTAAAATTATTTTTATACATAATTTTGATAAATTTAATATTTAAACAATTGAGGGTATTTTAGTAAACTTATCAGTTACAGTGCAGTACGATACAGTCAAACCAAATAACAAAATATTATTTAACAATAACAAACAATACAATCTATCCAAACAATGTATTCATAAAACGATACGATACAATACGATACAATACAATACAATACATTATAAAACGATAGGGAACAATGATCCAAACAGAGTGTTACGCTCTGTAATGTAGCATTTGTATTTCTTTTAAAAAATTAAATGAGATAAAACCAGTATTACATACCTGATTTATTGACCTTGACAAAATCTAGAAGTGGCAAAATCAACCGTTACTCTTTTACCTACTCAAGTTTAAACAGGTTGGGTTTATAACATGTTTGTTGACTTGAGTTGAATTTGAAATGACTCATACTTACCAAATCTAATCTAATTTGAATTTTGAAGGGAAAAAAAAACTTAAGTTAATCATTTAGAGAAATGCATTAGTTTTTCTTTTCCTTCAAAAGACAAACCAAAAAAATGGGAGGTTGGACATGTTCAGTGGCGGAGCCACCTTATGTTAAATGACAACACTTCGTCCGGAAAATTATACTTATATTGTATAATTCGAAAACTCTATATTGACTTCCCTTATTTTTTTATATTTTAACATTCTTTAGTAAAAATTCTAACTCCTCCACTAATCGTATTAGACCATCTTGCCTCAAACAAACTTTAGACAAGTGGGGTCATGACATTTTGTTTTTCAAAAAAATTCACTACATGGTAGATTGGGGGAGAAAGGAAAAAGGGATAATGAGAATCGAACGCACATTTATTATAAGAAGTTTTGACTGATACCATTAGATTATAAGTTATGGTAATAGTTGGCCATGGCATATTTGTTGATTTGATCTGTTTCAACCCACAGGCAAAGCTAGAGACAGTTGAGAAGGTAATAAGCATAGTGAGGAAGCAACTAGCTTTACCTGCAGACACTAAAGTCAGCGCTGAATCTACGTTCAATACGGACCTCGGCGCTGACTCTCTTGACACTGTGAGTACTAATTTCTATCTTCACTTACTGATTTGCTTCTGCAATTCGTTGTATATATATATATAGAGAGAGAATGATCAAATGACTCTGTGAACGTTTGTGATTGAGCAGGTGGAGATTGTGATGGCACTAGAAGAGGAATTTGGCATTGCAGTAGAAGAAGAGAATTCTGAGACTATTGTAACAGTTCAAGATGCTGCTGACTTGATTGAAAAACTTGTTGAAAAGAAAGCAGCTTAATTATAGACAAATAGGATGGAAAAATTCGAGTCTTGAGATGGAGTTTAGCTCAATTTTTATTGGACTCATTGTAATTGATTTTCTTGGATTGCACACTTGCTAAGCATTCTTTTTCCAACATTTTGTTTTTGGGTATCTAAATGATGATATTTCTTTCCTACTTTTTTCTTATTATTATATTCCAACGTTACTAATTAGATTTACAATAGTATTTTATTAGTTAAAATTATAATTACTTGTCTTATCCTTCCGATGATGCTTCTAATAACCTCCAATAATACTTTGCTTCAGACAATGTTGATAAGCTCAACTGAACTTTTGTCTAGTTGTATTGCCAACTGTGACAATAATGGAGATGAGTGTGCAGTCGTCATGATTAATTGTATGAAAGTTTTAGCATATCATTTTTGTACGAGTGGCTTGTCACTTTTATACATCTAATCTAATGCAATGGCAATGCAGAGGACATGGTGTTTCACTACAGGGACCCACCGCATAAATTCTATAAGTTTAAATTTCTAGTTTTTTTCAAAATAAAAATGTATGAAACTTTTAAGCATCTAGTTATACTAATATATACCACAACAATAAATCCAGTGTAATCCCACAAATGGGGTATGAGAAGGATAATGTGTATGCAGACATTATCCCTACCTTCAAAAGGACAGAGAGGCTGTTTCCGGTAGACCCTCGGCTTAGGAAAAGTAAAGAAAGGGCAACAACAAGCACACCAATCAGAAAATCGAAGCGAAATTACAAAACAAACACTAGCTATTGCAATAAGAAAACTGAAACGAAAGCAACAAGAAGTAATAACAGAAGTCAAGGAATACAAAAATACGCAAATGACACTAAGTCATGTACTAAAGCTACTGTTACAAACAAGGACAACGCTCGGCTACCTAACCCTTTACCTTTATTTTCAACCTTCATACCTTCATATCCATGGTCATGTCCTCAGTAAGCTGGAGCAAAGTCATATCTTGCCGAATCACATCTTGCCAATACTTCTTCGCCCTACCTCTACCTCTCCTTAGACTCTCCAGGGCCAACCTCTCACACCTCCTCACCGAAACATCTGTGCAACTCCTCTTCACATGCCCGAACCATATAACTCTCGCCTCTCGCATTAAATCCTCTACGGGGGCCACGCCCACCTTGTCCCGAATAACTTCATTACCGATTCTATCTAACCTGGTATGCTCACACATCCATCTCAACATCCTCATCTCAGCCACCTTCATCTTTTGGACATGGGAGTTCTTTGACTGGCCAATACTCCGCCCCATACAACATAGTCGGTCTGACCACCGCTCTATAAAACTTACCTTTGAGTTTTGGTGGCATATTCTTATCACATAAAACACTAGAAGCGAGCCTCAATGACTTCCACCCACTCCAATACGATGTGTATATATATTGTTTACCCTCAAAATTGAATAATAGTCAAATTTGTAAGTGGCTTTAAGGATACATGGATTAAATTGACACAAAGCGATAAATTAAGATTGCAATTAAAATAAACAATGATACAGTAAATTCAAACCGCATAACTTGAACAATCACAGTCTTGGAAAGTCAGTCACACTTGAACTGAATGCAATTTGATTGGTATCAAGATATAGAAGAACAAGAGTTTAAAGAAATAAAATAATAATATACTGCTTTGGAATGCGTGTTACAATATCTCTTTACAAGTAAAAAGACCCCCCTTTATATAGTAGAGGAATCCTATATTAGATACAACTCTATATAAGGTAAAAAATCTCTTGATTCGCTGATTGCCGGTTCCTTATTGAACGTGCCGAGATTCCCGCCATAATATCTGACTGATCACGGATATTTCGGTCTTCTGTTGGTTATGCAGACAACGTTTCTTCGAGCTTGTTCAGGGTCAAGGTTGATTCCGGGATCACGGACTCAATATTCTCGAAGGCAGGCATTCTAACCTCGGGCTCCGGTCCTGTGGGACCTGGGGTCAATCTCAAGTCCTTCATATTCCGAGCCCGATCTACCATGTCGTAGACGAGCCCGATTTTGACCGTATACAGACAGTCCCCTCGCTTTTCAGAGAGTAGACGATGAGAAACGATATGAGATTCCGATTCTCACTTCGATACCTCGCGATAGAAATGATAAAATAAATTAAACATCACGTCAGTCAAGTTTTAATGGCATTAAATGCTTTTCAATTGCCGGTCGACCACTCCTGGATGTGAATACCCCCATCATTTGTTCATTTTAACTTTACATCAAAACCTTCTACCCTCGTATCTTTGAAATTTGAATACTCTCTACCAATTATACTCTGGTTTACTTGGGATCTTTTGCAAGAACTTTCTTAATCATCATATCAACCCTTCAATTTCCTTTCTTCCTCTATTTTCAAAGAAATGGCAAAAACCTCAAAAATCGTTCCCCAAAAAGAAACACTTTCTGCTTCGCGGCCGGCTACTGAGGCGGAAGAAACTATTTCGCGTACCACCATTGATAAACTAGCACATGAACCTCCTTTGAAAATGTTCATCCCCGGAGGACTCTCGGTAAGTAATGATTTAAAGGTTGAAAAATCCTCTTCCATACTTGGCCAGTGCGAAGACTTCTCGAGGTACATCTGTACGATTATCGAAGAGGTCCTCCCTACGGTTCGGATAGATTGCAATTGGGCCGAAAAAATGATAGTGGTCCCTAACCCCGAGGAGGCCATTACCACCCATGTCGAGGGATACCTGAGTGTTTACACTTATCCCTCCATATTAGGACCGGTGGACCCGGTCATCATAGACTTCTGCAAGAGGTACGAGGTGTGCATTTGTCAGATCCATCCTTCAATGTGAAGGATAGTGATCCTCCTCCGATTCTTCGTGATCAAAATCGATGGCTGCCGGTTCACCGTGGATCACCTGCTTCGCTTGTACAGTACCCGCTTATTCTGAGGGTGGTTGATAAAGCTTGTGCGCCGGGCCAGCAAAGCCCCATTCTCTAGTATCGATAAGGACCGAGATCGAGGCTGGCAAGGCTGTTTTGTCCGGGTGAGGACCTCAGACCTAATCTCGGCGGAATGCATGCTATTTCCCGAGAAGTGGAACACAAAACGTAAGTGGAAATTCCCTTCGAATGTTGATTTTTATGTTTACTTTCCCTTTTCTTATTGGTGCTTGTGATGGTGCAGCCGTTGCTCGGGTTCCAAATAATATTCCTCGACTCGAGAGATGGGTCAAGGGCATCGATTCTCAGATGCCCTACTCCGAGCGTTTGTGGCGTGAACTCTCAAAGGGCCATTGGGAGGCCCGTTCCCATGGTAAGATCCCCTTTCTGGTCAGGCCGTGTTAGGCCTCTCCTTTTACTATCAAGTCCTAATTCTCTTTACTTTCTATCTCAGGTTTTCTTAAGGATGTCGAGCTCAAGCCTCCGGTTGGCGACGAGGACTTGCCTCTTGAGTCCCCTGTTTCGAGATGGGCCAACGAGAAGAAAATAAAAAGGGCTCCGAGTTCTCTGAGCTCGGAGAAGAGAACAAAAAGAAAGCTGGTACGCAAGCCCAAAGAAAGTACCAGTGCTTGAGCACCCTCCTTGGAATTACTCTACAGGCTGAGGGACGAATCTGAATGAGAAGAAGAAGAAGAAGCCTCTGAACTGGTGGCCCACGTATGGTCGCAGTTCAAGGGACAAGGGGCCTCTGAACCAGAGACAGACGAGGTCGATCTGCCTCAAGCCAGGGAGACCGGCGAAGAGGCCGTGGTCGAGGCCAGCGAGGAGGCTGTGGCAGAGGCCTCCCGGGATATGGGTAATTCCTCGAAGGATGCACTCGGTGTGATAGACATCATCGAGTCCCCTTTGTTTCCTCAATCCCGAAACTAATCAACTGGTTCCCAGCTCCGAGTATGGATCCTGACCGGAAACGATCGATCATCATCTCTATTCTGGAGGATGCCCGAGTCCTCTCTGCCCCCGTAGGGGTGGCCAGTTACCTTCGGTGTCTAGTGACCGAGGAAGACCAAGCCAAGATAAACGAGGTGGACGTGCCCTGCCTGTTCAACGAAGCACAACAGACGCTAAATCGGGTAACTTCAGATACCTCTTGATGACTTTTAATTTGTACTTAGACTAATTTATAGATAGTCATAACATTTCTCTTTATTTTCGTAGGCCTCGGTGCTTCATCATGAGACTTTTCTCCGATATCCGAATGAGCCGAACCAACTTGAGGCTGAGGTCTGAGGGCTCATTGAGAAGAGGATACTTACAAACTTCTTAGAAATCAATGTGAAGGGGAGGCTAAGAGCCTTCGAGCTGAGCTAGAGGTGACTAGGAAGGAGCACACCGACCTGGTCGAGCAGGTAAGAAGAATATTTGAGGTTAGTGATGACGAGTCAGACACGGTGACTAACAGTTCGAACCCGCATGTCCAACAGAAGCTTGATCGGATCGACCAGCTCCGGGCAGAGATGGATGTGATAAAGGTCGAGGCCGAAGAATGAAAAAGCAAAATGGATCGCTTGGCCTCGGGAAAGGAAATTGCTCGAGCGTAATTGGCCTCTGCGGAGGCTTAACTTTGAATGATGATGGAAAAGGCTGAGGCACAGTCCCAAAAAGCCGAAGAACTCCAATCCCAGTTGGGCTCGGCTGTTGCCAATCGGGAAGCCCTTGTCAAGGAGCTCAAAGCGGCCAAGTCGGTGGTTGAACTAACCAAAGACGATGCCCACGAGATGGTAGCCCAGTATAGAGCTGATGCTGAGGCAACCCAAGACCGTTTGAAAGACATCATCAAATACGAGAAGCGACAGTCCCGAAGGGAGGCCCTCGAGGAGGTTCATGCTCGGGGTTTTGATTTGTCAGTCGAGATAAAGATCGCTAAGAGGCTCGAGGCTGAGGCCGAGGCCAAGAAATTGGCTTACGTCGAGGATGAAGAAGAAGAAGATTCTGAGGGTTCCGACGGATTCGGAGGTGGAGAGGACCCCGATGGTCCCGGTGATGAGGCGGCCCCTGGTGAAGTCTAGTCCGTTTAAGTGCCTTGTACATTTTATTTTGTTTTTTGCATTTTTGTAATCATGTACTTTTGTACTTTTTGGTCAAGGACGTTTGACTTTTGTAAAGACAGTATATATATAATACAAGGCTTCTTTTCCCTTTGACAATCATTGAGTTTTGTTTTCCTTTGCTTTATTATTTAAATTTGCAAAGATCGAAATGCCTTAGCATAAAATAGTTAGGTCATGTTCAGGGGTTCCGAACTGGCCTTGCCTTCGACATTATTTTTTTAAAGGCATTGTGGGGGTTTGGTATGACCGGAAACCTTTTCCCCAAAAGTAAATATAATTTTTTAGATTATAGTTTGTCGAGGGTAGCCTTTAGAACCAGTTAAGAAATTTCGAAGGCCTTGTTATTGTTACCGGTCTTGGAATTCTTCGAGCCATTTTAATATGGTCGTAGCCTATTTAGTTTGGGTACTGACCAGTGGGCTTGTCACCCCAAGTTATCCGGGCTTGCCTAAGATAACAGTCCCGAATGGGGATGGCCGTAGCCTTTAAAATTTGGGCGTTTCCTAATAGGTCTTGTGCCCTCGAGCCCTGATAGCCTGGATCGTTCGAGATTGTCTTCGGACGACAGTCCTCGAGTGGGAGTGATCGTTCGAACTCAGATTAAGGTGGCCCTTGGGCTTGATACCTTTAGGGGATCGGATGTAGGAAATTCTTTAAGAAATGCAAAAATAAAAAATTTCAAGGGACAAGATATTTATCCGCAAGGCAGAGACTTCTTTTTATTCTTGTGCGTAATAGTTACACATGCATACAACCTTTGTGCCAGGGCTCGAGCAGTCTATGCGGGCACGATTCATTTGACCGTTTGGCCCTTACAGTAAATCCTATCGATCGAGCCTAGATCGTTCGATCACAAAGTCTCTTTCCTTGCTGAGGTCATTATGTGAGGGGTAATGCCCCCAGTCTCCGAGGTTGATCATATATAAGCCTCGGATACTGTTGATGTGATATTTGACACCGATTCATGATCGACCTTCGATTCTAAGTTAGCACGATCCACGGTTGCCTCGTTAAAAACCTTGCTGGAAAACCCATTTGGGACAAAACCGGTTCAAGGGAAAAAGAGTGAAACACATGCTTTCATGCCTAAAAAATTGCATTGTTCCTTGTTGGTTATCTGCAAGTGTTAGTTCAAAAATAAGTAAAAGGAATGAATGGGGTCGTACCTTAGCAGTAGTATCACTTCAAGTGAGTTATGTTCCAGTTATTCGGTATCCGTTCACCGTTCATTGCTCCGAGTTTGTACGATCCTTTTCCGGTGACCTCGATAATTTGATATGAGCATCCCTAGTTCGGCCCTAGCTTCCCTTTGTTTAGGTTCCGGGCGCTTAGTGTGACCTTCCTTAATACTAAGTCCCCGATATTGAAGTGTCGAAGGTCAGCCCTTCGGTTGTAATACCCTCTATTCACTATTTTTGGGCGGCCAACTGGACAAGGGCGGCTTCGCGCCTTTGTCTAATAGCTCCATGCTCGTATTCATGGCCTCGTCGTTTGATTCCTTGGTTGTGTATTGGAATTTAATACTTGGTTCCCCGACTTCGACCGGTATTAGAGCTTCGGTGCCGTAAACCAGTGAGAACGGGGTGACCCCGGTACTGGACTTCGAGGTCGTACGGCATGCCCATAGGACTTCGGGTAGGATTTCCTTCCATTTTCCTTCGGCGTCGGTTAACCTCTTTTTGAGGTTTTGGAGTATGGTTTTGTTGGTCGATTCTGCTTGTCCGTTCCCACTAGGTTGATATGGTATTTATAGGATCCTTTTGATCTTGTGGTCTTCGAGAATCTTACTTACTTTATTGCCGATGAATTGTTTCCCGTTGTCGCACACGATCTCGGCTTGCATTTCGAACCGGCATATGATGTGGTCCCAAATGAAATCGATGACTTCCTTCTCTCTGACCTTCTCGTATGCCTGGACTTCCACCCACTTAGAAAAATAGTCAGTCATAAACAATATAAATTGAGCCTTACAGGGTGCC